CAGCACCAGCAGCAGCAGCAACAACACCGGCATCAGGAGCAACAGCAGCAGGAGCTGCAAGAACAGCAGAAGTTGCAAAAACATCAGGAGCAGTAACAGCACAAAAACATGAGACGGCTGTAATTGGAAACCTCGATGGCTCGGGGGGTGCAATTTCTGCACGGAACTGGCTGAAATGATAAAATTGCAAGCAGCACCACGTCAGAGAAAAATCAAACCAAGGTTGCGGGCCAGGCAGGGCGCGCAAGAAAAACAAAACCTGGCATACTTCGCCCAAGTTGCAAACTGTAGGCAGGTCTTGGTGTAGTGTAACTTTGCTATTGCCCGTTGGCTATAAGCTGCCAGGATGCCGTGCTGTTGGTGAGACATGGAGTATGATGCCCTGGCGCCAACGAACCTTCGACGCTTGGAAAGTTTTTGCCGCAACATTTACCTACCGTCCATTGCACAATGACTCCGACATCGATGGGTCACTTTGAACCCGAGAAACGAAAACAACTAATGGCCACGGTGTCCGATGATGATTTCGCCAGTGCTTGGCGGCCAGCTCTTGTCGACGGGAAGGAGCTCTGCCACGAAACTCCATCCTGCGCTCCCGGCACGGAAGCGAAGTGGGGGGCACGAGTGGGATCCAACCCGCTCACGGCAGCAAGCCAGAGGCTGGCAAGGGGAGGGCGACTGCATACTGGTTTGCGGCAAAAACCGTCGCAATGCAAGAAACTTTGGGCGAGCAGGTTTCCGCCTGCCCAACTGCTCAATGGCATCTTTGGACCTCGCTCGACGACACATGACACATACTTTCATGACGGGATCCCACGGGCAAGGCAGGGACCAGAGGCAAGTCCAAAAGCGACGACAATTCTGCGTTTCGCGACCAGGACGCCCCGATCCCTGTGGCTGTTGACACTTTCGAGACGCCAAAACCAGCAGTAAGTCCCAAAGCTGCACTAGTATCTCATTTCGCGACCAGGACCTCTTTTCGCAACTGCGAAATGTGCGCGACACTTGCGGAATCTTGCGGACGCTTGCGAACGCTTTACGGACGCTTGCGGCCACAAAAGCAACAACTTTTGGTCACTTCCTGGACCCCTCGACCCCAACCTTAGAACTGGAACCCTCACGCTGAGCCCCCGGGCATAAGAACATTTTCAACATTTACCCGCCCCACAACGGTGGACTTGGGAAGAAGAGCTAGATGCCTCCAGGGGCGAAAGACGAATGCTGCCAGACCTATTGCAACGAAATAAAACAGGCTCTTATGAGCCTTTGACTGCAAATGATTTCTGGCTGCGGCTAGGGACAAAATACGCCGTATGTACCTTCGGAAGGCGTGGTGTTCGAAGCTGACGTCGCGAGCGCATGCCCTATGCCCACATAGGACTGTGTCAACAGCGCAATCAGTTATCTGATTTTGTTTGTTGCAAGCATTGCTTGCAGGATTGCGTCACATGCCGCACATGCGATGCATATCATAGTTTCAATGGCGTTTTTCTTGTTCGTGTTCGTTGCGTGCCTGCCGCGTATGACCGCGGTCGGCCAGGCTAATGTCATAGTCGCAAACGACGAAATGCAAGAAGACATAAATGGCCGGTGGTGGGTGAACGCACTCATTCCCTGCTTCGACACCGAAATCGGATACGTTTGCACCTTTGGGCTTGTAACGCGCGCCGCCACCAAGACAAGCGGAATGTTTCCCAGAGCATTTTGTGCAGTCACAATTGCTTCAACAACCTGCAACCCCAAGCGAGCAACTGATGTTTCTGATTTGTTGAGGCCCTTTTCCACCCACGAGTCATTGCTCCACTCGTGCCTAGAGCATGAATGGTAGTACTAATCATGATAGTCAACAAAAAATGGTATCCTATAGATTGAAAACTAATCGTGGTGTCAATAACAAGAGCAAAAGCCATGTAAATCAAACGCCAACAATTTCCCAATCCCTATCCCCAAATCTGACGGAAATGATGAAACATGATTAACGAAGGGAGAATGACTACAAACCTGTAAAATTCTTGAAAAGTAGTAGAAATGATAAAATAGACTTACAAAAAGTGATGAAAACTCACGACGTACGAAATATGTCGACACATCGAGGAAAAACGTGAAAAAGTGAAAACCAATGCAAAAAGATGGAAAATCCTAATGAAACAAGAAGTGACACGATAAGATACTATGAAATATCCTGAAAAACGAGAACAAAACATAAAAAAGGAAGTGAAAGTTGTGAAATGTGATGAAAATCCTGCAGAAGAACGAAAGTGATCAAATACGAGTCATCATCTAAAGAAACGATGCACCCATATGAATGTACGAACATGCCATACAAGACAGCAGGAGAAGGGGGACAGTCGTCCCCAAAGCTTGCCAAAGTAGGACTCAGAGAGGTCAGGCCGGGAGCACTCAGGAAAGTGCGCAAAAGCCAGGAATGTGATCCTTAGTAGAGCAGCGTTGCCTTAGTAGGACCAATGCAGCAACGAGATATACCGCACAGTGAGGCGGTAGCAACTTGCCAGCAGCCTGCCACACGGACAGAGGGACACAATCAACACATCTGCATCATCCGGGATCAATTTCATCAGCTTCCTGAGCCTCACGGCGACTCAGTTCTCTCAAGTAAGGCAGCAACTTCAGACGAGTGCTTTGCAGGTGATCAAAGACAACGCCTCCACCCCAACCAAGGCGGGCTTCAAGGTTCGTCGCAGGGCGACGGCACGGCGGCACATTGTTGGGACAGTTCCAAGCAGCATGCTCCCAAGAGCCAAGAGCTTGATGACACCAAGGGCAAGTGCGATCCTCATCAGGCCGTCGTCTACGAGCCCATGAGTACGCAGCACCAGAAAGAATGGTGAAAGCGTTACGATTGGAGGTGGCCAACCGACGCACCGAAGCGCACTGTTTTTCATTGTAGACAGCTTGATCAAATACGAGTTACGAAGATTTTGCCATATATTGTCTAAAAAAGGATATATGATAACAATGATGAAACTGATGGCATATGCTGGAAGATGATGAAACATGATTTTTGAAACAGAGCCCATGTCCATCAAGAACTCTGCGCCAAAACTCAAATTACAAGGTGCGGCTGAAACATGCTAGTTCGTGCTGGAAACTTCACCGGCTTGTGAGCACGAGCACGGGCTTGATTCCAACAAACCCGAGCCGCAGTTGCAAAGAGGCTATCCCACAACACAAAACAAAACTTCGACCATCGGCCTTGCAAGGAAGTCCAGATAATTAGTCCCGAGCAAGTCACAAGGGGTCGTGATGAATAGTTTTAAGAGGGGACTGAAACTTCATCATACACACATGCAAACAGCCAAAACCAGAAGCCCAACATGCCTGCATGATCCTATATAGACTCTCTAGGAATTGGATGTGAGGGTGAAGTGCATTACCAGTGAAGGGCCCTTCCGGATGAACGAACTTTGACAAATCCAAACCCCCAGAACCACATCTGGCCCAACATGGTTGCAGATTGAGCTTCAAGGTGTCCTGGGTATGCCTCAGAACGGAAAATAGGGTGCCACTGGCCAAGAAATCCGGCGGGGCCGCCGTTGGGCTTACGGACCACGCTTCAAAAGTTTTATTTCGCGGCATGAAATTGCACAGCACTTGTTCATTGGGTTAAAGCTCGAAAGGGAGCCTGATGCCATGGAGTTGCACGAGTCCTAGCTCGTTGTGTTGTTTGTTTGGACATGTCCTCCACTGACATTCTGGAGCCGTGATTTCAAAAGACTCTGTTCATCCGATAGGCCAGGTTGCGCACGGTTCTTGATAACAACGCGACTTGAAAAATGTGCTTGGTGCTTGACACCCGCCTGACTGTTGAAGAAACCAGCTACCCGCAAGTTGTGCGGCGCTGCGTTTCAGATCCATGCTTGGTAGTAATCCATGATTGCTTTTCATCAAACCAGAACCAAACAGTACCGCACATTGTGATTGGATGGGAATGGCACAACGACAACTAAGCCTGAAAGAAGCTGCTCACATCATTCAAAAATGTTGTCCTGACTACAAAACATCACTGCGCACCATGAAACCAAGCAAGCTGGAACAGAACTTCATTTAGCTTGCATGAAATGCTAGACCTTTCAACTTCATAGGCCGAAAAATGCAACGCACTGAAAGTTCGCTGTTACTAAAAAGTACCAAATTGCCAGATTCTTTTATCATGAAGGTGTCAGGCCACCTCATAAGTGGGCCTCGCGTTGCAGGCTATGTCTGACAAGTGGTTTCATTTTAATAATGCACAACCAATCGGCCCAAGTGTCCGTGGCATAGGCAGTGACCCTGGATTTGTGCGGCACCGGACGCCTACTGGAGGCCAAGTTGGGCGGCAGAATGTTTGCTTTTGCGAGGAATAACAAGCACCAATTCTTGACACCTGTCCACCCAGTTCATCAAAAACGCGGGAGGTCATGTTCATTCAAACCGCAACCATCCCAACCATGCTCATGAGATGCTGTGCTCTCCGCATGAAACCGACAGCACTGGCAGCTTCAATCCTCTGCACGTAGTGCGGAATTGTTCCATCACCACTTGGGAATCGCCAAAACGACCTGCATGCGCGCCACAGTTTTGACGAGCCCTTCATCAACAACCTGCCAGAATTTGCAGACTTATGGACGAACCTGCCGCTAAGCGACATGCGCAACCTGGCTTGAGGGAGGAAACTGAGGACCTCAATTTTTTTCTGACAAGCAAACCTGCCTTCTTTGACCAGGAGGGGACCTGCCGTGAAATCTGAGATGAACTGCTAATTCGCAAAGCCCCAAGCAGGCCTGGGCATACTACTTTCTCTTTCTTCGACCGCCTTGCGAATGAGACATCACAGACGGTTTCAGTGTTCCGTCGAGACATCATCTGCTTTGCAAGTGCGCTGCCACGTGCCCCTCATCGCTGAATGTAACAGACCTCCGAGACATTAAATTTGCAGGGCAAACCTCTAGACAGCCACTGGCCAGTGGCCTGCTTGGGCGCGCATTTGTCAGCTGGATCTGTGCTGGTGCCGGCTGCTCCACATTGACCTTGCAATATGTCATCAAAAGCCCTCATCAAGGGTATTTATCGACACATCAGCATCGATGTGCTAACGAAATAATGACTTGGAACAGGCATGAAATCACTGCGAAACTCCCTCTTTTTTGAATTCTGGCTGCCGACAAAGACAGCAAAAGGTTCACAGCCCAAAAAAAAAAGCAGGTTAGGCTTGCAAAGGAAATTGAGCTACGCAGTTGCCAGTGGCCTCTGCCATGATAGCACTAGACTCAATGGGCGCACTACCACCTTGAGCAATCCAAAAAGGTAGCCACACTGATCTTTTTGCATGTGTGGCACAACAGGATAACCAATAGTCGTACCCATTTGAAGGCAACCATTGCGTGTGAGATTCCAAAGCAAGTCAGGGCGAAACGCCAATGTTGATAATGATCAATCTGAACTTGCTGACATGACTCTACCCAACAATGCACAGGAAATCAAAGTGCTTTGTGGCAATGGGCAGGAACCATCCTTGAAAACAGAAAGCTGAAATCGCCCCATGCAAAACGAAGCCTGCATACTTGATGGGAAAGTTGGCCCGAAAACTATGCGCACTCGTTGCCGATCTAGCTCATAGTTTCTGGTTGAAATCAAAAGTTATGCAACCCAAGGTGACCCACCTTCTGAGGGCAACATACATACTTACCAGTTGTAATGAACATCGTCTGCGCAAACTCCCCCAGCCAATTTTCGGATAGTGCCGGTTTTGTAAGCACTCAATGCCAACAAAACCTTGAGGCTCCAAAAAGCAACACCGAGCGCTTTCATGCGCAGTTTTCTACGAAGGCACACACACATGACTCACCACAAATCAAATGACCAACTGTGAACGATCAATGTTGTTCAATGCACATGGACATTGCAAAATGACGTGCAAACAACCCCCATTCAACCTGGCGTTCTACCTGGCGGGGCAATAGGCCCTTGTGGCTCAATTTTTTGTTCTCAACGAGTATGCCGTGTTGTGCCGGCTGATACATTTCCTCCAAACGGAAATTGCGCATGTTCCCATAGCGATGCTCACATTCATGTTGGACTGCCCTTCGCCATTGTTGCCAACAATGCTTAATCGTGCAATGCATTAGTGAATGCCACCACAAACAGCTACTTGACATTTTTTTTCGGTGGAAAGCACCCATTGTTCATGAGTTGATGAAACATCAAAAAATTAACAGTTCAGCCACAGTCAAATGCCAAGCCTGTTCTTGGAACATGGTCGCAATGCTCAAGATTGAAAATGTCCACCCTAGCGTTCCAAGCAGCCCCTTGAATCCCTTCACACGCCGTGGCCCATGTTGTCCGAGACAAGCACGGCTTTTTTTTGTTTTTGAGAAATTGTGAAAATAGCCTCGACAACTAAACTTGCAGTGGGCGCATTCTAATGGGCACAGTCGCATTGGCGCATTGCATCAACCAGAATCTTGGTCGGTGGGCCCAAGCACATTACTGAACTAGGGTTTGCACACTCCCCTCAGCGTTTTCGAACAAGCACATGTGATTGATCATGAAGCAAGACTGGCAAAATGCTGGGAGACTTCATGTGCTTCAGATGTCTAGTCCGGAAACATCCGTGACAAACGTCCGACAAAAAACTCATCCAACAACATCCACAAAAACAAGTACCCGACATGCCTTCACCCAAAGCGTTTGACGAGAATTATTAACTCGTGCGACTCATTCTCAATTAGTGCCGGCAAGGACCCGAACCGCATGGATGGAAAACACACGAATGAAAGTTGTCGTTGATAATATCAACATTTACCCGATTAGACTGCGAACAAATATATAGCAATACTTCAATAACTACAGAAAAACATTTGCGCACACAAATAAATACCTTGGCCACTGGATTTTTGTCTGCTTTTTGGCTTCGATTCGGCAAGCTTGAATATTCTGGAATGATGGTCTTCTTTTGGCATCGCTGGATCTTGATTTGAAGGCCTTGGGCAAAAAATATTCGCACTATTGCGGCTCCAGGCGCTTTGATTCACAAGGGTTGGGGGTTTTGTTTTTAGGGGTCAGGGCGTATAAGGCGTAGGGGTTAAGACGGCAAGATTTTGATCCCGTGATTTAACCTGGCCGGTTTGTGGGTTTAAGCCACAAAGTTGAAAGATAAACATATTGAGCCCGGCCTTGAGCTCACAAGTTCAGGGTTTCAGGGAGTTGGTTGAAAGCTTTGGGTTTAGGATGGCAAAAAGAACGATAAGCGTTTTATCGCTGAAGTTGTTGCTTGGGTCGGGTTAATATTTTCATAATTTTATGCAACCTTGCATTCAACATGGCATTCATGACCATCCCAATATTCATCGCCCTCAACGACTAGCAAAATTTGTTCATCATGACTCTCCGCTTTCGTGTCGTCATTCTCATCATCGACAAACATGTCCGCGGCGCCGTCGCCGCACCCTGACCGCGTGTTCTTCCGTCGCGCGCGCTCATGTTCATTCAAAAATCGAGCTCTCGCTCGAAACATCCTCAAAAAATCGGCGGTGTTTCTCGATTTTCGATAAAAAAATACAAACCCTTGCCTTTAAAGTGCTCTTGGTAGGGGGGGTCAAATACCGAACTGGTCGCGCTTCTGATTTTTGAAAATCGCGCTCCCGCTCGAGACATCCTCAAAATTTCGTCAATCCATCTTCATCAAAATTGATCAAAACTGCGCTCCCGTGCGGAGCATTCGGAAAATTTTGATCATTGATGAACGATGATGTCGAAGGTTTCTATACCAATCCTATACCACATGAACATCGTTCGAGGTGGCTCTCTTGGCTTAAAAGGAGGGTATTTGGGGGAGCTTTCCGGTATAGGATTAATATAGGATTCGTCGGCATCGTCAACGTTTTAAAATCGTATTTCCCCTTTTAGAAAATGCCGGGCACTCAATCAAGTAGGTGAAACACATCAAATAATATTCAGCAATCAAATCACCTATAACTCGTGAAAACGGAAAATGTTTTAAACGTGGGGAAATCGCTGTCTCAAACGTGGCCTGGGCTAGGGTTCAGGGCCACAGACAATGTACACGGTATACACAAATTGACATATTGCGGAAGCTAGTGAAACAGAGCACATGCTCGCCGGTACGTACCGGACGGGATCACGTATCCCAGGGTGGGTGGGTGGGAAAAACAAAAGCTTCAAACAAAAGAGGGCTCCCTCCCTCACCACCCACTTGAGCCATGCACGGAACATGGCATTGATAAAACTTCATGAGACATGTGTGAAAACTGGCTCCGCAATTATGAAGCTGCCAGAGTTCCAAAATAGTATTTGCATAGCATACTCAAGCTTCATAATAGTATTAGCATGACGTATACAAATTTCATAATCACTCACGTATATACAAGCAGTCGCTTTGCTAACCGCGTTAGGAGTGACGATCATGTTGGAGTGCATATTCCAAATACATAATCGAGTCAAATATTAACAATCAAAACGTTCATCAATAATATGAACATGCATCAAATACAACAATCAAGCATGCAGACGGTCGGATGTTTTCATTTCCAGCGCACTGGGGATGAATCACGAATGGACACATTTGCCCCACACGTGCTCCTTGGTTTCACCAGGGATGCATCTCGCATAGACTTTTCCCCAGTCCGCTTTAGCATTGTCCTACACGAGGCTGGCAAGCTCCTTCTTGCACAGGGGGCATACTGGACGTTCCACTGCGAGCTCCCAGGACGCAAGCTCGCTCAAAGACCCACGACTAGGCGGATCCGCCACATTGGATCTGGAAGGGACGCGGGCTACCCAGAGGAACATCGGCAGGCGCTCCTCTGGATTCTCCAGCACAAGCAATAGCTCTCTCCAGAGACGTACACTAGAATCTCCCTTGACCAAGGAGTCCAGAGCCGGCCAAGAATCTATGAACAGGATAATTCGCCGACCTTCTAGACGTCTCCTCCAAAATCTGAGGGCTAAGAACGGACGCATAGAGCTCAACAAGACCGATCACGTGGGTTTTGCCATCTGACCTCCAGTGCTGAAGTAGCTCATCGGGCACCATGGACCCGAACACAGACGCACATCCGGGCTTCTTTGGATCAAACCGTCTGTGAACACAATCATGGGTTTCTCTTGCCAAGTGGCATGAATGGTCCGGGGCTTACCACTCACTAGGCGATCCCTCAGCAGCCTTATGGCATCCACGCCGGATGGGTCGAGACACTGGCACCCTGGAGAAACTACCATGTGACCTAAGATCCCTGAGGGCCATGCAACCTGCCCTTCCCCAGACCTGGGCGTCTGCGTATTGCAGTTTGCCAAGGAAGGATGGCAGTTCACATGGAACAACCTTGCCGGTGTTCAGAACATCATCAAGGATAGGCTTGAGCTCATCGATCCTGCCTTGTTTGTTCTTCAAGGTTATGATCCCCCGGGCAGACTCGCTGACATCAAGCACCACTCCCAGGGCCTCAACCTCGCTATGGAAAGGAAGGCATTTGTCCTCTGCAAATTCGAAGCCTGTCAGGCTCAAGAGAGCACGCACGGTGGCTTGCGTGGAGCACGCCACTGCAGAATGAGAAGCCATCGGAAAGGCCACTTTCTGCGACCTTGGATCCTTCAGGCATACTACTGTTTTGTCATACTCACGCGGGGAAAGGGGAAGGTGGTTGTAAGCTGATTTGAGATCTATCGTCGAAACCTTCCGGTCTGAGCCCACTCTCTCCCAGTCCGGGTGTACCAGACCCACGAGTCTTTGTCCCGTAGAGAGGGAGAAATCACAGGCCCCGTGGGAGCGAT